TAGAAGTAGCAAATCTGGTGCTCCTCCGAAAAACCATGCTGTGGGCACGTCCGAAGGAGTTGCGTGTAGCGCTCCCAAGCCTCATATAAAGGCTCGTTATCTTGTTGCTTGAATTGAGTGATCTCCGTCTGAAGTCTCAACATCTTACTCGGTGGGAAGAACTTCAAGAGAAATTTCTGACGCATTTCCTCCCATGATGTCACTGTCCCGGTTTCCAAAGAATTGTACCAAACCTTCGCCTTATCTCTAAGAGAGAAAGAGAAAAGGCGGAGGCGAATAGCATCCTCCGGGACTCCATTGTACTTCACAGTACTGCATATCTCCAGAAATTGCGCCAGGTGCGCATTCGGGTCCTCGATAGCACCTCCCCCAAACTGCTCTTGCTGAACCATACGAATCAAGGATGGGCTCAACTCAAAAGTGTTAGCTGCAATTCTCGGCCCGTGACCTCCTCCATATACTTGGTCAGCTTGAGGTTGGAAGATGCTCCGGACCGGTGGTCCTGTCTCCTGTTGAGCCTGCTGCTCGGCTAGCTGGCGTTGTAGCTCTGCCAGTTGCTCTTGGAGCTGTCTGTACCTCTCTTCACCTTGTTCCTCCATTGCACCTCTCAGTCGTTGTTGTAGTCTCCGGTTTGCGTTGTTCCTTCGGCAACTAGCTTCAATCTCGGGGTTAAATTTTGCGGGTGAACTCCCACTAGACCTCGTGATCATGCAAGTACCTGTTAAAACACACAAACCAAAAAGGATGCAATTAAGAACCAACGTATAAAACAAAAACAAAAATGACTAAAGTAATATCTACCCGTCTTCTTCTAATATTAATTAATTCAACAAACAATCCCCGGCAACGGCGCCAAAAACTTGTTCGCAAAATATTTTCACTATCCGCAAGTGTACGGTATAGCTGTAGTGAGTGGCGAGCAAGGTCGTATTCCACAGAGATTGTTGTCAAAATTAACTAAGTATCAAAATGTAAACGATTAAATATTATTTAGTCTAATGCAAATTTGAATGGTGATTTTATTCTAAACTAATGAATGATTGCAAAATAAATTCTAACACTAATGAAGGCTTGTTCTAAGATAAATCAAGAATGAGAAAATAGATTCTAGGCTATGCTTTCCTCGGGATTATTCTAACAAAGATTAATTATTCATTCAAACCTTATTTAATTCTACCATTCGTAGGGATAATCACTAAAGTAATTTACACCTTTCTCTCGAACAAGTTAAATCGTAGATATTAATTGTTATCTATCTCCTCTCGGTCTCAAGATGAACAATCAACTCCCATAAGCTCCTAAGATTCTAGTTCCCTCGCAAGATTCTATCAACCTCTCGGTCTGTTTAGTCTCTTACGTTATGAATTTCCCAATTCTAGCAATCAACTATCTCCTCTCGGTCTCAAGTCAATCACAAATATGCATAAATACGGGCCCTTATATTCACACAATAAACAAAAGCACAAGAAATTGATAAACGAATGATAAACCGGAATGAATAAACAAAATCACTTCATAAAATAATCCGAGTACTCGCAAATCCTAGAATCCCTAAAAGGTTTAGCTACTAAACATATTCTCAAAACTCAAAATAAATATATTCATGAGTTCAATGAAGAAGAAAAAGAGAAAAGAAAGAAGAACTATTGTCGCCGTTAGTTCCCGGATCTTCAATCTTGACTTCCTCGAATCCCTCGTGTGTTTCGTGCTTTCTCTAGGCCTCCAATGGTGTCAAAAGTCCCAAAAACGAGTTCCTAAGGCCTCTTTTATACTGTAGGGTCATTCAGGGTCGAAAAAGGGAAGAAAACGCATAAGAATCCTATTCCCCGCAGGTTTGGTCTGCCGTCACACGAGTCGTGTGATATGCCACACGAGTCGTGTGACTTTTCTCCAATTTTCGGCAAACTCCCAGACTCACACGAGCACCCACACGACCGGGTCACACGAGTCGTGTGAAGCCACACGACTCGTGTCTTAACCCACATGACTCGTGTGGAAATGCCGTAGCTGCAGTTCTTATTTCTTCAACCCACACGACCCGTGTCACTATTCACACGAGTCGTGTGACCTCTTCTGCACCCGTTTTCGCCGTTTTTCGTCCCGATTCCATCTCCAACGCATTTCCGGGCATATTTCCTGCAAAAACAACGACAAAAACACCTCTATCATAGTTTAATAAATAAAACGAAATGGTGCACAATCACACGATAATCATGGCCAAATATCACTATATATCACTCATAATGCATGAAAATATGATGAATATCAATTACACATCCCATGAAAATCGTAATTTAGAAGTTTTAAATTAAAACGACATCTAAAAAGAAACAGATGGAGTATATAATTATATACAGTATATATTAGGGTGTGTTTGTATATAAAAAAATTCAATTAATACCCAATTCATACTAAAAATATAACTCAACTTTAACTTAATTCCACTATTCTCAAAATTATCAATATAATTAAATAATATCAAACAATCATTATTACACATCATTCAACTTTAATTTACTATTAATTCTCTCACATAATTTTTTAACTAACCATCACTTCATACCATCTCTCTCCTACTTTTACATCAAATCAATTTTAATTATTTTATTTTAAATATTATTTTAATATAAATCAAAATCTCACCAATAATTAACCATACAACGTTTTTCAAAATTAACTCAAGTTGACAAAAAAAACTCATTTTGAGCGGATTTTTTTTGCATACAAACACGCTCTTAGTGTGTAAATTGAATGATAATATATTTGATAACTGCAGTCATCAATAAGGTAGAATAAACCATTTTATGTTCCTTTTACCATTTACTATCAAAATTTTCACAAATGTAACCAACAGAGGTTGGCTCAAGTGGTAAGCAGACTTAAGCAAGGCCTCGGGTTCGAGTCCTTGTGGATGCAGGAAACCTTTGTTGGGAGACTCATCCACCACTGCCAGGTGTGCGACCTGGGTCGACCAACGAATTAGTCGGGACATAATTCCGGATACCGTGGTT